CCTTTCCTAAGTTTCCACCATGAAGGGAGACTCACCAGAATGCTGAAGGGGCTGCTCCCAGATCTTATATGAAGAAATGGATCCAGGTGGCACATGAGATAGATGGACTGTGGTGGATGCTGTCCTTGCCACCTGGCCTCCCTTCAGGAATGAAGGACTCATTTTCCCATTGTTAGGAGTGCTCTCAACAGAAAGCCCTCAGCTATCACCCCCCTAGAGTGATTTTCCAAATGAAGCAGGTCCCCTCATGCCATTTCAGGACAACTCTAAAGGTCATCCCAGCTTCAGAACTCCCAGAGGGTCCACTGAGGCCTCCACTGAGACAGCATCAAAGCTCAACTTGTCCCTCTGCTCAATCCTGCTACCTTTCCCTTCCTTCCACAGCTGTAGATTCTAAGATCACTTCCTAAGAAATCTCTTGCATGTTCATCTCTATCTCAGAATCTAATTCCTGGAGAACAACATCATCCACATAAGGGAAAGAGGGGCTTTTGATCACCCACCCAGAAGGATACGTGCGTGTGATATGCAGCAACAATGGTGCCACCAAAAGCAACTATATGAAACACTGTGAGAAAGAGAACTGGGCAAATAAGCAAGGAGGGGATGGCAAGAAAGATGTTGTGAAGGAGATGGGATGCAAGCAAAGGAAAGAACCTCCTGGGATAAGGTCTTGGAGAATAGATAGAATTTGGGCCCTGACGATCATCAATGTCCTCTTATATAGGAAGGACAGAGACGGAGAACAGTAACAGTTAGGGAGAAATGGGGCTATTTGAAATGCCCTTCTTAATAACCATCTAAAGATATCCATCCTGCTGTCCATCAAGATGGATCTTGACTCTCCCCTTTGTGTCTCCCCATTCTCTTATTAATCTAATGTTTTTATTAGCATCTATAAGACCCATGAGGGGAAGCTAAGACAACAAATTTGATAAAGCTTCTTGGACTGTTGCTTGATTTTGCAGCAGAAAAGGTGCCTATGACAAGTAAACTCAAAATGGATGAACGATTTAAAATGTGGAGACAAGACTCATCAAAAATTAGAGGAGAACACAGGAACACCCTTTTTTGAACTTGGCACAGTAACTTTCTTGCAAGATACATCCACGCAAAACAAACAAGGACACCAAGCAAAAATGACACTATTGGGGACTTCATCAAGTAAGACGCTTTTGCACAGCAAAGGATACAGTCAACAAAACTCAAAGAAACCTACAGAATGGGAGACGATATGCATAAAAACTTAATCAGATAAAAGGGCTAGTTTCAAAATTCTATAAAGAACTTATTAAATCAACACAAAGAACAAACAATCCAATAGAAATGGGCAAAAGACATGAAGAGAAATCTCACAGAGGAAGACATTAGACATGGCCAACATGCACATGAGAAACTGTTGCATATTGCCCTTCGAAGTCCAAATCAAAACCCAATGAGATAACACCTACACAGAGAGAATGGGAAATTACAATGGCTAGGAACCACAAATGTTGGAGAGGTATGCGGAGAAAAGGGAACCCCTCTTCACTGTTGGTGGGACTGTGAACTGGTGCAGCACTCTGGAAAACTTGTGTGGAGTTCTCAAGAATTAAAAATAGACCTCCTACGACCCAGCAATTGCACGTTAGGGATTTACCGCAAGATCAGATGCAATGAAACGCCGGGGCACCTTGCACCCGAGTTTCTAGCAGCCATTGTATCACCTAGCCAAACTGTGGCAGGAGCCGCGGTGCCCATCGAAAGATGAATGGATAAAGAGATGTGGTTTATGTATACATGGAATATTACTCAGCATTAGAAACAACAAATACACCATTTGCTTCAACGTGGATGGAAACTGGAGGGTATTTATGCTGAGTGAAGTAGTCAATCGGAGGAAGGACAAACAGTGTAGTTCTCACTATTTGGGGAATATTGAATTAATAGTGACGGGGAATATAAGGGAAGGGAGAAGAATGTGTGGGAGATATCAGAAAAAGGGACACGAACCTAAAGACTTTCATTGGAAATGCAACTAGGGTGGTGGAAGGGGAGGAGGGCGGGGTGGGGTGGGACTGGGTGACGGGGGGGGCAGGAGGGGGCCACTTGGCCCCCCCCCCCTCCCCCGAGGATGAGCACTGGGTGTTTTTCTGTATGTTGGTAAATTGAACACCAATAAAAATTAATTTATAAAAATAACAAAAAAAGAAAAGGTGCATGGGCGGTGGGGGGGGGGGGGTATTGTAAAAGTGGTCTGCTTAACCATAGTGCTTACCATGACTTGGGTAATGGGCATAGTCAGTGGGTGAATATAAAGCCAGGGTCATCATAAAACCAGCCCCACCTGGCTTGCATACGAAACAGATCAGCTGCCTGATATAGGGCATTTCACTTGGCATTTTTAGGGATTGTATATAGTCTCCCTTGTCAGGGTAAACAGATCTCACAGTGGCTTTTATCCAATCCAGCAAGCTGGCCATTTTCTCAGGAATAATCCTCTGTCTCTCTGGATCATGTATAGCCATCTGTGGTTGTTCCATAGTAAGCTATGGGTCCTGTAACAACCCACACTGAAGCATGTAAAAACAAAGACACTGCCCCTAAATTAGTCATGCTCACAGTCCATTTCAGTAATAGTTCTTCAGGAAGTTGATGATAGTGATCTACAAAATAAAACAATTCCCTCGCATTATATCTCCTGATTTCAGGAGTCTCTTGGCTTTGTCCTCTCCCCCATGTGTCCTATCTTCTTGTGACCAGAGTCTTAGAAATACTCTCAGTTTTCCCCACAGGGGTAGATTTGAGACTAGTGGCAAAAACTTAAGACCAACCAAAATTTGAGCTTGGTCCAGCATCAAGGTCTCCCCCATCACTCTCCTCCCCTTTCGTTTTAGCTATTACAAATAACAATAACTAAAAGGTTATATAGTTTGCTTTTTTCATATTAGTTTCCATTGCCTTAAGCATCCAGTGAATCAATTCCCCAAGAGTTGGATCCACCTCTAAATTCCATTGGTAAATGTTACCTTTAGTAATTGATTATGGCACAACTACTATTCCATACTTTGAGTGACTCTGTGGCCATGGCCACCCTGGAAGCAAAGGTTCCTCATCCTCTCCTCTGCCCTTTCATCCTCTCTTTTCCCAAACTACATGTTTCCATGAGTTAGGGCCTGGCTAGCAAACCCTAATTTTTTTTTTTTTTTAAGCAAATCCTATTTCTGACATGACTTCTGATGACTTCAGGCAATTCTCCAATTCTCCAAAACAAACTGGCTATACAACAACTCATTTAAATTCTGACACTAGGGGCGCCTGGGTAACTCAGTGGTTGAGCATCTGCCATTGGCTCAGGTCTTGATCCCGCGGATCCCACCCCCCACCCCACCCCACCCCCAGACACAAACACACACATCCGGCTCCCTGTGGGGAGCTTCTTCCTCTGCCTCTGTCTCTGCCTCTCTGTGTCTCTCATGAATAAATAAATGAAAAAATATTTAAAAAAATAAAATAAATTCTGACACTACCCGGAGTTAGCATCAGATCCCACAAATTAAAGGACTCAGTCCCACAAGATTGCCCAGCTTCAGATGCCATTTCAAAGCTCCAGGTTGCTTTCTGTGCTTCTGATCAACCAGCTACAAATTCTGGGGTTCCATGACACTCTCCTCAGGTTTGATATTGGAACACAGAACTTAGAAAATACTTTGCTTACATTTACCAGTTTATCATAAAAGGTACAAATCAGGGATCCTTGGGTGGCTCAGAGGTTTAGTGCCTACCTTTGGCCCAGGGCGTGATCCTGCAGTCCCAGGATCAAGTCCCATGTCGGGCTCCCTGCATGGAGCCTGCTTCTCCCTCTGCCTCTCTCTCCCTCTCTCTGTGTATCTCATGAATGGATAAATAAAATCTTTAAAAAAAAAAAAAAGGTACAAGACAGGAATAGCCAAATGGAGGAAGTACATGGGACAAGGCATAAAGGGGAGTGATGTCATGGAGCTGCCATGTGCTCTCCAGGTGTGCCACCTATTAGCAACTCAACAAACTCACCAACAGGAAACTCTCAAAGAGATAGAGAGTTCAATCTCTAGTCTTCCTCCCTTCCTTGTAGATTGAGGGTGGAGCTGAAATTTCTCACCCTGTAATCATTTAAGTCACCAGCCCCATCCAGAGGCTATCTTGGGGGCCCAGCAGATACCATCCCTCATTAGCATAAATTTAGGTGTGATTGAAAAGGGCTTGTATAAATAACAAGAAAATTTAAAAGATTTTAGGAGCTTTGTGCTGGGAATAGAAACTGGAGACAGGGGATCCCTGGGTGGCTCAGCGGTTTAGCGCCTGCCTTTGGCCCAGGGCGCGATCCTAGAGTCCCGGGATGGAGTCCCGGGATCGAGTCCCGCATCGGGCTCCCGGCATGGAGCCTGCCTCTCCCTCCTCCTGTGTCTCTGCCTCTCTCTCACTGAGTCACTTGAAAGAAATTCTTAAAGAACTGACAAGACTTAGTAGTTCTGCCCCTCCCCCTTGGAGAAGCACGCTAGGAATTAAAGAGCTCAGGTTTTGTGTGTGTGTGTGTGTTTAAGATTTTATTTATTTATTCATGAGAGACAGAGAGAGGCAGAGACACAGGCAGAGGGAGAAGCAGGCTCCTCACAGGGAGCACGACGTGGGGCTCGATCCCTGGACCCTGGGATCAGGCCCTGAGTCAAAGGCAGAGCTCAACCGCTGGGCCACCCAGGCTGCCCCAAGGGACCTGGGTTTTTGTTGTTGTTGTTGTTTTATTCATGAGAGACAGAGAGGCAGAGACACAGGCAGAGGGAGAAGCAGGCTCCATGCAGGGAGCCCGATGCGGGACTGGATTCCGGGTCTCCAGGATCAGGCCCTGGGCTGAAGGTGGCGCTAAACCGCTGGTCCACCCAGGGATCCCCAAGGACCTAGTTTTAATTGCTATTCTGCTACTTAATTTCCCCATGCTTCATTTTCCCCATCTGCAAAATGGACTGTTAGTATTACATACTTACTTCTTAGGGTTGTTCCAACTGAAGATAGTAATATAGTGTCTGGATCCGTGTGGGAACATGAACAGAGCTCAATAAATGTTATTTTCCAGCATCATGGATCCACGGAGATGAGACACCCAAGTTCTAGTCCATGTTCCTGGCCTTCCTGGCTGTTTGACTCTACCCCTCCTTAGTCACTTCACCATCTCTGAGCCAGTGTCCTTATCCGTAGAGTGAATGTGTGACTGTCCGCACAAGTTCAGGGTCCCTTCCATTAGGAAGAGTCCGCGTCAAATGGGACCCAAAGACTCTCAGTCAGGGCGACTCGAGGGTGCCAGTGCCAGTGGCAGAGCGCGGGAGACGTAGGGGCCCAGGTAACAGACGCAGAGACCTGCGGGGCCGTGCCCGTCCCCAGCCAAGTGGAGGGCCAGGTGGGCTTGGCAGTTCAGCTCTTCCAGGAATTGCATCCAGGTGTGGAGAGCGGGGGCGCCTGGGAGCCTCGGCGGGCCTCTCGCCAGCCGCACCAGGGCTGCACCACCACCGGAGAGAGGGCGGCGGCAGCAGGCGTCCGAGGTTAGCACTGCGGGCAACTTCTCCCCGCCGGGCGGGCGGCGCAGTCGCAGTCGGGGGGGGGGGGGCGGGGGGCGGGGCCCGGGGCGGTGGGCGGGGCCCGGGGCGGGGGCGGGGCCCGGGGCCGGGGGCGGGGCCGGGGCGCCCCTCCCACTCCACCTCCCCCGCCCAGACAGGAGGGCTCCTGACAGCAGCCGCGGCGATCAGCTGCTGGCGAACAGAGGAAGAGGAAGGGGCGGAGCTGTCTTGCGGCCAGACGCGGAGCAGTCAGCCGACTGCCGCGGGGGCTAGCCAGCTGTCCCGGGCGCTGTCCGGTCCCTGAGAGCCGGCTCCGAGACGGCGGGGTCCGGGCAGCGAAGCAGCCTGCCTAGGAGCTCGCGCAATGCCCCGCCACGCAGTATCGCCCGGCCAGGGCCACCCCAGGTCCGGACGGGAGCCGGAATCGGACCGGTCCCGGGGCTCCCCCAGACTGAGGCTCCTGTGGATAGGCCTGGCGCTGGCCCTGCCGCACGCCCTGGTTCTCTGGGCCCCCGCCGGGGCGCACCCGCTCCCCCCCCAAAGCCATCCCGCCAGGTTCGGGCGCTTAGTGCCCCAGCTCCGCAACGCCTTTGGGTGGTGGAACCTCACCTGCCCAGTCTGCAAAGGCTTGTTCACCGCCATCGACTTCGGGCTGAAGGTGAGCGCTTACGGGGGCTGCCTTGGAGAAGCCAAGGGGAGCGCTGGCGGGGGCAGGGGCGAGAGAGGGGCTGGGCGTGGAGTCTGGAAGAGCAAACCTGACCGGGAGGCTGGCACCCGCTAGCCTTCACTGGGTTTGCTGCCCTACATGTAGGGACACCCATGACTACAACTCCACCTCTACCTCCATCGTGACCTTGTGAAGAAAGGAGAGCTCAGATTGTTTGCCGGGCACTGTGCTAGCCATTTTATGCTGGTTAAATCAAACCCGTGAGGTGTTTTCATTATGGTTGTTCTCTCCACTTTACGAATGACTAGAGGTTGGGAGAGGTGAAGTCGCTTGCCCAAGGGCAGACAGTTGGCGGCTAGGGGAAGGGCTGGGTCTCCTTTCCTTGTATATCTGACTCTGAACCCCCTTTGCCTTAAACTTGGCATCTCTAGTCCAGAGCACCAGGCCTTGTACCAGGGACTTGAATTCAGAAGCATCCAAGGGTATGGGACTCGATAGGGGTGCCTTGACCCTGATGGATTATGATGAGTGCTAGTTGGTAGGTGAGATTTGCAGTGCTCTCCAGGGCCTGCCCCTGTGTGTGTCCCCAAACTATGGACAGCCAAACTTCCCAGCCCAAGTTTCAGGGCACTGTGCAGAAGCCAGCTGGACAAGCAAAAGACCTGAAATGCCACTGCCTACTGAGCTGAAGAAGTACTGGCCCGCTGCTGCCTGAGTCACTGGGCAATCTCTGTGGGAGGCAGGGAGTGCATTGAGGTCTCTTCACCAGGGTGGCACTGAGTCCAGCCTGGCCCCCCAGTTTAAGATAGAGGCACAAAGGGTGGTAACCAGGGGTTGACTTGGTCTCTGTGGCTATCTCCGACCTCTCTCATCACTGGTTCTTCTCACCACAGAAGGAGCCTAGTGTGGCCTGGGTGGGCTCTATGGCCACCAAGATCTGCAAAGTGCTGAAAATAGCACCGCCCACTGTGTGCCAGTCAGCTGTCCAGCTCTTTGAAGGTGACATGGTGGAAGTGTGGACACGCTCGGTGCTGAGGCCATCTGAGGCCTGTGGTCTGCTCCTGGGCTCCACCTGTGGGCACTGGGACATCTTCTCATCTTGGAACATCTCTTTGCCAGCTGTACCAAAACCTTCCCCACAGCCACCCAAGCCCCCAGCCCCAGGTGCCCCCGTTAGTCGCATCCTCTTCCTCACTGACCTGCACTGGGATCATGACTACCTGGAGGGCACAGACCCTAACTGTGAGAACCCACTGTGTTGCCGCCGGGATTCTGGCCTGCCACCTGCCTCCCGCCCAGGTGCTGGATACTGGGGAGAGTACAGCAAGTGTGACCTGCCCCTGCGGACACTGGAGAGCCTGTTGAGTGGGCTGGGCCCTGCTGGCCCCTTTGATATGGTGTACTGGACAGGAGACATCCCAGCCCACAATGTCTGGCACCAGTCACGTCAGGACCAGCTTCGGGCCCTAACCACCGTCACAGCCCTTGTGAAGAAGTTCTTGGGGCCAGTGCCTGTGTACCCTGCTGTGGGCAACCACGAGACCACCCCTGTCAATGGCTTCCCTCCTCCCTTCATAGAGGGCAATTTCTCTTCCAGCTGGCTCTATGAAGCAATGGCCAAGGCATGGGAGTCCTGGCTGCCTGCTGAAGCCCTTCACACCCTCAGGTAGTTGAGGTCCCTGGAAACTCAGGAAGAGAAAAGGTGGATGATAGTGAAGGGAGCAGGGGACCTGGGCATTACCTGTGACTGTGTTAGTATGAGTCAGCTCTCCTCACTGACCTTCCTGATCGACCCTAACTTCCACCTCTACCCTTATAGCCAGCCACTCTCTCTCACAGGGCTGACAGCATGTCTTCTCCATGCTGGTCTGTGTCTTTGCTCATGTTGGCCCTCTCTAAAATGCACCCCCCACTCTAACATCCCAGCTTTCCCATACCCAGATCATATTCGTTGTGAAGGGCCTTTGCTTCCTGTTCTAGCTCACTTTTATCTTTCCCCTGAACTCCTAGAGCCCTTAGTCTTCTGAGCCATTCACCTCAGTCACACCGGCCCTATAATTAGTGCTGTTTGGTCTTCAGCTAGAATGTGAGCTCCTTGATAGGAGGATGTCCTGTATGCCTCTGCCTCCACCCAAATGCTTAGCACAGGACTGGGCATGCAGGACCAGATTATGAATGAGTGGTGACCCTTCATGTTCACTTTGTTTCAGAATTGGGGGGTTCTATGCCCTCTCCCCACGCCCTGGCCTCCGTCTCATCTCTCTCAATATGAATTTTTGTTCTCGTGAGAACTTCTGGCTCTTGATCAACTCTACAGATCCCGCTGGACAGCTCCAGTGGCTAGTGGGGGAGCTTCAGGCTGCTGAGGATCGAGGAGACAAGGTGAGGGAAGGCAGTGAGAACATGATGGAGTATGCACTGACAGGGGTTGGAGGAGAAGCAGGCCCCTCATGACCAGACTCCTATCTGGAGCCAGAGAAACTTGGTCTTCTGGAGTTTCCAACAACAGTGTTCCCTGGTTGTTCAGCTCCTGGTCCGCCTTTGAAGCCCTTTCATTCACTCCCCCTCTCTGGCCAGCAATGCTGGCCATTGTAGGAGATGAGTACCACCTCTTCCTGGCCAGGCTGTCTGGACCTCTCCTTGTCCTGATACCCTTCCTCTTATTTGTTTTTAAAATTTGAAGCTCTAATTGGCTTTATTGAAAAATTCATTAATCAGGCAGCTTCCCATCTAGCAAATAGAAGGCATTCTATTCTCCCTGATAACATTCCTTAACTCTCCCTGCAGGTACATATAATTGGCCACATACCCCCAGGGCACTGCCTGAAGAGCTGGAGCTGGAATTATTACCGGATTGTAGCCAGGTAGGAGGGAGGTGGGGAGAGGGGTAGATGAAGAGTCTGAAGGTTGGAAATTCCTTTGAGCATCTTATCATTGCTGCCACCCCATTGGGGTAGAGAGGCATTTACTTCAACATGTGGAGAAGGAAAGCATCCCATCTCTCCAGGTTGCCTCTCCCTTCCTAGAACCTTCTGAATAAAATCAGTGTCCTCCAACCAGGTATGAGAACACCTTGGCTGGTCAGTTCTTTGGCCACACCCACATGGATGAGTTTGAGGTCTTCTATGACGAGGAGACCCTGAGCCGGCCGCTATCTGTAGCCTTCCTGGCGCCCAGTGCCACCACCTACATCGGCCTTAATCCTGGTGAGTGAGGTGGGAGGGAGTCATTGGGATAGAGGAAGCTGGTGGGATAGAAGAAGCAGAAACAGAGCCAAGGCTGGCAAGGGGCAGGTAGGACATGTGACCCCTCCCTGGAGTTGCCTTGGCTCCTTCCCTCTCCAGTCAGCCCTCCTTTCTTGCAGGCTACCGTGTCTACGAGATAGATGGCAACTACCCGGGGAGCTCTCATGTGGTCCTGGATCATGAGACCTACATCCTGAATCTGACACAGGCTAATGAACCAGGAGCCGTGCCACGTTGGCAGCGTCTCTACAGGGCTCGAGAAACCTACGGACTGCCCAATGCACTGCCTGCCGCCTGGCATGACCTAGTGTACCGCATGCGGGGTGACACGCAACTATTCCAGACCTTCTGGTTTCTCTACCATAAGGGCCACCCGCCCTCAGAGCCCTGTGGCATGCCCTGTCGCCTGACTACTCTGTGCGCCCAGCTCTCAGCTCGCTCAGACAGCCCTGCTCTATGTCGCCATCTGGTGCCGGATGGAAGCTTCCCTGATGACCAGAGCCTGCAGCCAAGGCCACCTCTCTGTTAGGAGCCCCAGAGCCCACAGTTGGCAAAGTACAAATCTTCAGAAAGGAGCAAAAACCCCAGAGGATAGCTGTGGTAAGAAGAGTGGTGGAAGACCCCACCTCTGGGCCCCAAGAACACCAGGGAAATAGGACCTTCTTTCATGGAGCTCTGTCCGGGGCTCTGCCTCTGCCCAGCATCTAAGCTGCTCTGGGACTACTGTCTTTCATGGCTGTGGAGCAAAGGTCTAAGTTGGTATGCCCCAGCAGACCAGACAGAAGCCGTCACTTCAGGCCTGTGCTGGCCAGCCAGGAACCCTGTACTGCTGCTGTTGCCTGGTTGCCAGGCTGTTAAAATAAAGATAAGAGACTTGGACTCCAGACCCCTCTGTGACTGTCCCACTTTATTAAGCTGGGAGGGTGAGATGCCTGGGTGGCTCAGTTGGTTAAGACTCTGACTCTTGATTTCAGCTGGGGTCACTGATCTCAGGGTCCTGGGATCAAGCCTCGGGTGGGGCTCCATGCTCAGCTCAGAGTCTGCTTGAGATTCTCTTTCTGCCTGCCCCTGCTCTCTCTCGCTCTTGATCTTTCTCTCTCAAATAAATTAATAAAATATTTTTAAAATAATAATAAACAAATCAGGGAGGACAAGGTGGCTTTGTGAATATGATCTGAACGAGGGATCGGGGTACTGCAGGTGATGGTGTGATGTAGGCACAGGAAGGCACACAGCTTAGCAGGGCAGACAGACTTTATTAGTGATATCAGTACAGCAGAGGTGCCCATGGAACAGGGGGGAGGGGACCCATGCCTGAACCAGTCCCCTCCTACTGCCCCTGCCGGACCCTACCAAGATGGGGCCTGGCCTAGACCAGTTCCTCCTGTTCCACCTGAAACATGGGGGTGGAGAGCCCGGGGCTGGCCTTGCTTCTTGCTCCTCTTATCAATCCAGTATTGTCACTTCATTGCAGGGATGAGGTCTCTCTCTCCCCAGCCCCTAGGCAGGGAACCCCAGCTACTGGAGTGGGGCAACTTTGGGGGGGACCTGAGGCCTAATGCTAGCCTCTAGGGCCCCTCCCTGCTCTACACCCTTGAGTTCCCTGGGGCTCAATGCAAGCAGGTGGAGGGAGGACTGAGGGCTTCAAGGGGTATGGGCCCCCAGGCGTTTGGGCTTGAGCGAACCCCACAGCGACTGAACGCCCCTGCGGACAGTCCACCCTACACGCCGGGCAACGGACTCAGCAGGGGGTGCTGGGAGGCAGGAGGTGGAGGCCTGGGAACGTGCATCCAGACACTTCTGATAGCGGAGCTGCAAAGAGGCAGGTGGGGCAGTCAGTCTCCAGCCTGCCCCATGTGGAGTGGGCGTCATCACTCCACCACCCTACATGCTTACCATGCACGCAGCCTGCACAGCCTCTGAAAGGCTGGCAGCATTGGGCTCGCACCAGAACATGTGGCAGCAGAAGGAGGCTGGGCCGGCAGCCATGATGAATGCAAATGTGTGGACATCTCTGCCCACAGCCAGGAAGGAGAGGAAACGCACCCGACATTCCCCCAGCACTGCTTCCGTCTAGAGGGACAGAACCCAGTTAGGAAGGAACAGCCCAACCCTCTCTTCTACTGGCATATCCACTTACTGGCAGCTCTTCCTCAACCACCCCAGGCTCCCCTCCATGGCAAGGCATAGCCAAGCCTTCTCCCACCCTGGTCTTTACCTGCTGATGCAAGATGGTAAGAGTAGCAGGAGCCACGCTGACGTGACTTGGGGTCCACTGCTCACGGCTACTGGAGGACAGGACTGACTCCAGGGCCCCGTTTATCACATCTACCCCTGGAAGATATGGACACAAACATGACACCACTAGGGATGGGGAGAGGATGCCCCAGGGCCTTTGCTCCATCCCCACCTCACCAGTCAACAGCCCTGGATGATGCTGCACAGATACCCCTTCCTGGGTGCCCTCCTCCTTGGCTTCAGTGATTTAGCACTTTCCTGGTTTCTTCCATATTGAATCCTAGGCTTGGTTTTTCTTATTTGACTCTGCCTCTTCCTTCAGCCTCCAAAATAAACTGATTCCCCAAAACTCTGACCTCCCCACATCCTGGCTCTTGGTGTTTGCCCACATTCAGACATTACCCTGCATCATACAACAAGGACTCCCAAATCAGCCCCTATAAGCCACTCCTCTCCCATGACCCAATCTTTGTTTTGTTTTCTATCCACTTATGTTGACTTTTGTATCCCACTGTGCATGCCAGTCATTACAGTGCACAATTTCATTTACACCTTACAACAATCTCCCAACTGATTCTTTAACCACCATTTTAGATAAGGAAACCGAAGCTTACAGTTCCTCTGCTTCTTCTCTATATTTCTAGTTTTCAGAACTAGGACTGTCAAATCTTCGTTAGGTTCAGTAATTTTGGTAATTTCTACAATGTATTAAGAGGACAAGGAACAGAAGGTTCCTAGCTTTTAGATCAATCAATCAATATCCCCCTGTAACACAGTGGTTCCCTCCACTCAAACTGCTATTAAACAGTTCACTCTTGCATCCCACTTTTGCTTGCACTCAGCAGAGATGCAAGGCAGAGGAAGCACACGGCACAGTGGAGGCATGGGTTCCAGTCCCACGCTTCTCATGAATGGGCTGTGATCTACCATGTCTTCACCTTCACAACTAAGAGGTTAAACAGTGCCAACATGAAAGCATGCAGCTCTGCGGCCCACTCCAGGGCCCTCTTGCCCCTTTCAGTGCCTCTGGGTTCCCACAGGAGCAGACCACATGGACCCTTTGTGGGCAGACAAGGAAGAGGACAAATGTCTTCCTTGAAAGTCTTCCCTCATCTTGGCCTTGTTCATCTTACCTTTGGCTGGATCAAGGCCTAATTCCTCTCCTAATTATGTAAGTCCTCCAAAAACTGGCCTCATCTGAGCTGTCAAGCCTCATATTTTACTACTCCCTGAGCTTCAAATGATTTATGTAGCATTTATTAACATCTAATCTTGGCAAATGCCCTGCTAGGCAGATTGGGAATACAAAGTAAGAGAAGAATATGCCCTCAAGGGACACAGGCTGTAACTGTGGAAAAGCCTCTGTCTAGAGTGCCCTTTCCCTCTTGATTGTGTGAGAAACTCCTGATTCTCATCCTTCAAGGTTCACCCAAGACCCATCCAGGAAGCCTTCCCTGCTGCAGGGCAGAGTGAGGATGCTGCTGGGACAACTATTAGCACATCTTGTAACTCCTGGAAAACCTTTTTCCACCCTGGGCTGTGGCCATCTCAAGGAGGGAAGGCAAGTTTAATTCATCTCTGTGTCCCCAATCCTAGCACAGGGCTTATCTATTATCTACTTAAGGAATTCCAGATGCTTGAGCAAATCACCCTCAAGGCAACATGGGCAAATGCAACCAAACTGGTATAACCAAGTAACCTAGGAGCCCACAGAAGGGTGAAAACACAGGCAGTTCCTGAGTGGGTCAGGTCAATTGACAAGGGCTATGGTGTTTTTGCCGTTTATTCCAGTCTATGGAAAAATCTCGAAGACCATGAGTGTGGACAAGATATCAAAGCTCATGGGGCCATGGGGATGGGGCCTGACCTTGGAGTGTGGGGAGAATTGGTGTGGAGGTAGGGAAAATAGTGGAGCAATGTGGCCTACAAACAGTCTTCCATATTTGGTAACAACTCAGGATTAAAACCTATACCCTGTCCCCCAGTCCTGCACTCCCAATCCCCTTTATCCTACTGTGCATTTTTCCCCATATCATGTTGCCTTCCAACATATTACATAATTTCATTATTGTCTGTCTCTCCTGCCTAAATTGTCAGCTACCTGAAGGCAAGAATCTGTCAGTTTGGTTCATTAATGTGAACCAAGAACTGAGAATAGTGCCTCACACAGATAGGCATCCTACAGATACTTGTTAAATAAATGAATGATTTATGAATGAATGCTGCAGCTTTAGGAGGAGCCAATGTTAAACTCCTGGAGGTTAAAAAGGGAGCAAAAGACAAAGCAGGAAGTGAGTTTAGAGAGTTTAGGGAGCTGACCATTGAAGTGACGGGCAGCAGAGGGGCAGTCAAGGATCGTAGACAGTTGCTTCATCGTCGTGAGAACCTATGTAAGGTGGATAGAGAAGGGGGGTAGGGACAGTAACTGGAAGAAGCAACAAGGGTTTGGAAGTTGAGGGTGAAAAACAGAAAGAAATGAAAGCAAAGATTTAGGAGTCAGTCAAGCTTCCTTCCTGCTCCCCACACATTATTTTCTCACCTCTGGCTCCCTGTCTGTGGCACTGCCACTGAATCCAAGTGGAATACCAACTACCCTCTGTAAAGACAGGCCCCCTTTCAAACCCTAGCTCAATTTCCATTCTTTCTAAGAAGGGTTTCCTTATTGGATCTAAGGTGCTCGTCATTAAAGTCAGTATGGTTTGAGGGAAAGAGCAGAGAATTGAAGATGACCAGGTTTGAGCCCTAGGCCTCCCACTTCCTGGCCATGTCATTTGAGGTAAGTCTCATTCATTGTTTCATGTGTTCATTTATCCATTCATCAAACAGTTGAGTTCTTCCTAAGTATCTTTTGATGTGACACTTGACCGCCTCTTGAAGCAGTCTTTTTGCCTCCCACTTCTCTTCTTCTGCTCCCACAATCCTTGTCAATTTCATCCTCCTCTGCCCATTAAATGCTGAGGGTCTAAAAGCTAGGCCTAGCCTCATTTCTCTTTTCACTGTGGGCTGCTTATTTTCAGGGATCAGTCTCCTCTACACTCATGGCTTTGATTACCTCTATAACCCAATAATGCCACATTTGAATCTGCAACCCAGACCTCTCCTCTGTGAATCCAACTGCCAACCTGAGTTTGTCACTCAGCTTCCCCATCAAATTTGGCATATCTGAAACCAAACTCCAATCTCCATACCAAAACTGGCCTCTTCCAATGTCTACTACCTTTACAGAATGGCATCACCATCCAGTTAGTTTCCAAAGCCAGGAAGCCAGGAGTCAGCCTGAATGCCTCTGTCCCTTGTCCTACATTCAGTCAATCACCAAGATCTGTTGATTCTAATTGTTTAAACGTCTCTTCAATCTGCATACTCTTCTTCAGCTCCACCATAGTCCATGATACTCTTCTTACCAGCCATAACTACTCCAAGATCCTCCTAATTGATTCCTCACATCCACCTCCACCTGCTAAACATTTTATTCCATGGTATAACCAAAGCCAACTTTTACAGAATTCAAATTTGATTATGCAAAGTATTTTCCTGAAAATTCAACTATAGCTCCATACTGATTTTAGGATAAAGAACAAATCATTAATGTGGTCCATAAGGTCTGACTTGTGACCCAACTCCCAAGCCTCATCTGGTACCAATGGC